TACTGAGATAAAACCAGAGTCTGATTCGTGTTCACATCAGAGTCTCATAAATTATTTACTCTGATTCTATCTGCGTGTGTCATCATCGTGTGTGTGTGTGTGTGTGTGTGTGTGTGTGTGTGTGTGTGTGTGTGTGTGTGTGTGTGTGTGTGAGGGGGGGGTGTCTGAGGAAAAACGATGCCAGACTGGGCCGAGGTTTAGTCTGTGGGAAACTCTCAAAATCAGAGTGATAGAGTTACACAGGCTGGCTGAGGTTTTAACACAAAAACACAACAAAATGACCACAAGGCGAGACTATTCCGGTCACCCAGTCACACGGACGCTGAAGCTCAAAGAGGAGCTCATGGTTTGGGGATTATCATGTAATAATATTATGAACCGAGAGGAGTTTTGATATTTATTCCTCCAGAAGAAGATGGAATAGATAGAAGGTTGAAGTTGTGTCGTCACATACTTGTCAGATCTCGTCCGAGCTGTCTCAGGTCTCTGTTCAGGTCGTCAAACTTGACCTGTGCAGCCAGGAAGAGGTCCTGAGGTTCAGGAAGTGGGAATACACTCTTGTCTGTGCCGGCGTTCTGGTGGGATACAATCAAACACACATGTAGTTCTGACACTAATTCATCAGATCAGAGTCAAAATGGACAAAGAAAGAAAGCAAACAGATATTAAAGGTGGGGTAGGTAATTCACTTCAGAAAGACTTTTTGTTATAGTCCATGGAATGCTCTTAACATCCCGATAGCAATGAATATATGAAATGCTTTGACAATAAATACATAAAAAAATATCATCTGTGGAAGCCGTGGCGCCGTAAAAATCACGACCAATCATCTGAGCCGGCCCGGCTAAAATAACCGGATGGCCTACCTGCCTGTCAGCCTTCCATCTGTGCAAAAACTTATCTCATGCCCTCATTGGTCATGTGCGCGTTCGTGTGTGTTGGAGGAGGGGCTCTGTAAGGAAGTCTGAAGGAAGGGGCAGATTTTTTTCGGCTGCGTAGTTTCGAATTCTAGCACACTCGAGCTGGTTTCTCCATGGTTACCTACCCTACCTTTAAGTTAACCTAGAAAAGGTGTTCAATTGTCCGTCGATAACTGGTTGAATAGGACCTCAAATCTACTGGATGATGATTTAAAAAATATTGTGTTGCATCTATTGGTTTTAAAAGCACACTCAACCGTCTTCGGATATTATACTCCGGAGAAAGCAACATAGATAGAGACAGCTTCATTGTAGAGTATAGCCTAAAAAGGAATAACAATATTTAAATAGCAAAGCAACTCATACCTCATCCACATTGTGCAGGTAGTAGGACACCACATAGTCCACCAGGCTGATACGATTGTCCTGAGAAGAAAAGCAAACGATGCATCAAAACGACGCCAACACAAGATGAAATCTGAGTGTGCAAGCTGGCAGCCATATTAAAGTGGCTTTATTAAAACCATGAATATTAAGGTGTTCATTTAAAAAGAAAATGTATTGCATGAGATTCAACTACATGCAAGGAGTCACTCACATAGAGTTAATGTGTAAAAGTAAGAAAACAAATCCACTTCCTATGACTTGATATCAGTGTTGGATGATCTCTTTTCACTTGCACTAAAAACACTTTTCTGCTTTTGCCAATGAGCAATACATTCTATACATTACATTGTCCACCGCACGTGTACTCCGCACGTGTACTCCATAGTCCATCCCAATAAAACCAAAAAACTGGCCTCCAAAAGAGCCCCTTCAGTCCTCCTCCAGGTCTTACTCTGCTCTTGACATCCTTCAGTTTGGGAAGAATCTCGAGTCCGAAGCCATCCGCCTGACCTCGGGTCCGGTTTCCTCCGTTCATGTGATTCCCCAGAGCCAACACCAGTCCCATCACATCCATCACACCTTCACCCTCCAGCAGAGCCTTCAAACAGAAAACACACACACACACACACACACACACACACACACACACACACACACACACACACACACACACACACTCTCTCCTGTCTGATGTCTTTATATTGAGTTAGTATAGATCTCCTCTGCTGCAGTTCAAACCGCATTAACACAGGAACATTTAGACTTTATAATCACATCAGGACCCCGATATCCTGCAGTGTGTGTGTTTCAATTTGTGTGTCTGTGTCTTTGAATGCCTGTGTGTGTGTCCAAACTAATGGCCTCAGTGTGACGCTGAAGGGCCCGCAAGGATCAGGATCAGATATCGATCCTGGTCCTGAATTATAAAAAGCCTTTTAATTTACACTGATTAGCCTCTGTGAGTAGAATCCACGTTCACTCTCATTCCTCTCTGACTGAAAGACAAAGATTGGTGTACTTTTACTACGTAGAAGACTTAGAATATGTGACTTTACATGAGGTCCATCAAGCTGCAGTGACATGAGAGTCGGGCTAGTTGAAAATGTTCCAGAAATATATCTGTCTTTGCATTTTGCGGTACGTTCATCATGTCCACTCCCTCTCTTTGTTTAATTGCTTTTGGTCATTTTTTTCGTACAAATCACCAAGCAGTGTTAGTCCAAGTAAACGTCGCTCAAGAAACAGGACACTACCAAGGAGGTAAAGGCCATATAAACATGAAAAGGTGACACAAGTAGGATCATAAATTGTCTTATGAAAGGAAATGGTCAAAGTACGTATCCCACCTATAAGTAATACATCGATATACCATGAGGACGCAAGGCTTTGAAATAAAGATACTCAAAGTGTCTTGAACCTGTACCTTAATTGCCTTAACGTCGTGTCACGTGACTTGAATTTTGAATTGAGCCGTCCCTTAAGTTATAGATACTATCTCTTTACGTATTAGTGATGGGAACTCCGGATCATTCGGCTCGGCGCACTAAACGGAGCCTCAGTTTCGCCGCTGCGTGGCTCCGGCGCTCGCAGCGAGGCTCCGGCACTCGCAGTTCACGCGCATGCTCCACTAGCACCCCCCCGCGTCAAGGCTCGCCGGCAGTACACTTTCCGTCATAGGAACACGCTTTGCTGGCGGCGAAAAGAATCCCACCAGACTCCTTTGCCCCTCCAACAGAAGGATGTCCTTGCCCTTTTTCCTTTTCGTCATTTCAAGCGATAAAAACTCGATCTTCTCTCGAATTATTTATTTTTTTGGACGCCCTCCGCTCGAGTTCAGGGCGTCCCGAGCTGAATAAGGGCGTCAAATAACGGCACGACGCCCCCTGGCTGAAACGCTGCCTACCAAGCTCACATTCTAAGTCTGTATATTAAATCAGATATTTTTACATATTTTGACCAATTATTCCGCTTAAGGACATTTAAGAGATGTATTATGCTGTTTTACAATATATCTCCAGACTTGTATAGCAGCTAAGCTCGTGGTATATTTAAAGGCTTTTATTTAAAGATGTAGTTAGTTTTACTGCCTGGCCGTCTCCCGACACACAGACATAAAACAAGACTTTCCATTTGTTCTTTAAGATGCAATTAGAAGGAACCATTATGTTGACTTTAATTACTTATTTAAATGTTTCCCTCCTCTGAGCCTTAGCAATGTCCTCTCATCTTTAAATGATTTCCTCTGAGCGCTGTCTCCATCTTCTTATAGACTTACCTAAAGGAACAAACAGTGATGTGAGCCTTGCATACACTCAACATAAATAGTATATATATATATTTGTTACTATTACTAGGGGTCTAGTAAAAACAGATTTAGCTGTCTCTACCCGCTCACAACCCCTCATTTTGTTTTGGAGCAGATGGCAGTCCTCTCTCCTTTTGGCTTTCACTTTGAGTTCAAACTTTGCAAAACCTTTTACTTTAGTTTTATGTTGAGCCGTCTTTAGAGGCACTTATGTGGGATGAATAAAACATCCGCACTGCTGGAGTTAGAGACTTTAACTCTAATGATGCCACTGAGCTGAATCCCACCGAAACTAAATGTCTCACTCGGGGAAGCTTCGTTATCGACAGGGAAACTTCCAGCAAGAAAACTAAGCCTAACATTTACACTTTGTAATTCAGAGTAAACATCCCCATGGTGATAAGACATCGGATCTGGTGGAGGAACACAATAAAGAGTTGATAGGGACAAAAGATAATGACCAAAACACAGCTTGTATTACTCCTTTTTATCATATATTTATTTGTTATTTTTCTGTTACTAGAGAGTCGGACAACCTTTCTAAACCTTTTAATATCTATGTAGTAAAACTGGAACTACCCATTATCTTCGTTATACAATATGAAAATACTTTTTTATAGATAAGTAAAAACAAAATGTCTCAAAGTTTGAGGTGTTTTCTTTAAATGTCTTGGTTTTCATTCCGAAAAATATGAGATTTAAGAGGCTTTTTTGGGGGTGACCAATCACAACAGAGCCGGCCAGCTAACCAATCAGAGCAGACTGGGCTCTGGTTTCAGACTGAGGGCGAAAATAAGTGCTGCAGCACAGACAGTATGAGAACAATAAAGAGCTTTTTGAACATTAAAGCATGGAGACATGTAGAGACACTACATACTGATATACACCTGAACATCAGCAGGAGAGGACTCTTTAAAGTAGAGACACTACATACTGATATACACCTGAACATCAGCAGTCCTCTCCTGCTGATGTTCAGGTGTATATCAGTATGTAGTGTCTCTACATNATAGCGCAGCATTATGCATTTGTTTACATGCCCACCGGAACCCCGAGGCATTACCAACAGATCAATGCACAATCAACCCATACAGGACATCTCTTTCTCCACATTAAGTGTTAGACATTAGAATTGACTATTCTTGTCTGTCACATACTCTTCTTGTCAGTCACATAAGCTTATTATTTGTAAATTAGCTTAGATGGCCCACAGGGCCATCTCCCAAAATCCTTAATGTCATGCACTGCACACACACACACACACACACACACACACACACACACACACACACACACACACACACACACACACACACACACACACACACTCACACTCACACACACACTCTTCCTGTTGCTGTGCCTTAATAACCAAAGTAAAATAACAATGTGAATCAGAATCTGAAATACTTTAACAATCTCTTGGGGAAATTGCTTTTAATGGCCTTGTTGTTGACTTGTGTTGTGTGAATTATTGTCAATATATCATCAGCATTTTTTGTATTTCAACATAGCTAAATCAATTGGCCTTGAAATTCCTTTAGATGCAAACACACACTGCAGCAAACACTCTTACTGTATTATTTGACCTGCAGAAACAGCAGTTGTTTTTTATTTAGGTTTTCACTCAAGGCAGGAAACAGTAGTAAAACTATCCCTCAGAGAGGACACAGAAACAGAGAGGCCAACACACTCCATTAGTCCTGGCACTGAGGCGAGGAGAGAAACTCATCCTGCTTCCCTTCATTTAGGCTGAAAGTGGGAGGAAATGTGTCGCTGTCACTTTAAGAGTTAGGAAAATGAATGGCAATGAGCTTTAAAAAAACACACAAGATGTTTTTTATTAACCATAATTCTTTTACTCTATTTTTATAACTATGGGTATGGGAAGAATGCAGTGGTACAAATGGCTTAAACATTGCCATGAACGGGGGACATTTGATTAAGGACCGGATGGGACATTTCTTTATAAGTCATACAATAGGTACATTTAGCAATTAAATATGTAGTGTATCTTCTTCCTTTTCAGCAATTATTTTCCCATTCATCATCTGTCCCGGACTTAAAACATGTGCTTACATTTACCTTAATGACTGACTCAGGAAACTGTTGACCATTAACGTTTGGTGTGTTGTTGTTCTCAGGATGCGGCATGGTACCTGAGGAGGCACAAACAGGAACTGGAGCTCCTTCTGATTGGCAGCAAAACCATGGGTGTAGAGTTTACAGAAGGGGTGAGTTAACAGAATACAACCGTATCCCAAATGTTGTTCATTTTCCATGTGTAACCACACATTCAAAGCAGACAGCCAGCTTTTATTGGCCGACCGGTGCCCTTTAATTCCCTGTTTTTTCCCGAATTAAAAGGAGATATAATTTAACAGGCGGTTAACATTAAGCCAATCCACATGTGTCTGATGCTGAGCAGATCTCCTGCTGAGTGTGTAAAGGCATTAATGTGCCTCTGCTGCTGGCTGACTCAGAGCAGGGTAACAGGTGTTTGGCAGACACCGTCCACCACTGTCCTCTTAGCCGGTGGCGACACCTGCTGGCCACTCTGACATGTCATATTTCTTTGTACATTGCATTTATAAAATTACCTCTGGTATTAGTAAAGCATATATTGAGTCGCCCTGGTTTTCTTCTTTATTTATTCATTGACTCCTTGGCAGCAGAGATTTAGAAAAAGACAAATGTAAATATTAAAAATGTCCATTCTCTTTTCTACAGAATTATTGGAGCAGCACAGGTCGAAGAGAGGACTCAAACAGGTAAAGAGTTAGAATCAGTCAAACTTTAAGGTGTAGCATCAAACAGTTTATCATACAGTAACGTTTGTCTTCTCATTGCCTTGAAAAAAGATCGATATAATGTAAAAATTAAAAGCGGAATTATCAGTCTTTTTAGAAAAACTGTTTCTCTCAACACTGTAGTGATTTATATTGAAATGATAACTTGTTTAAACTAATTGTTTAGCTGTGAGGACTGCAACTCTACTGTTTGTGTTCTTTCATTGCTCTTATTGTTGTTTTGGCTGCAGGTGTTTTCAGCTCAAAAGCTCTTGAAAAACAAGTGTTTGCTACACGCTGTGCACTAAACAGCAGACGGACATGATAAACAAATAGCTGGTGAACACAATGGAGCATTTAGTAACTTTAGAGACAGATATTCCCTCAGGAGTCGAAAGAGACAGATACAGAGCTAAAGGAGAAGGAATATTGGACTGACATTTATCAGGAAACTCCCTCAAATATAATGATAATGGTGTTTTGTATCTGCTTGAGTTTGTTATATTATCAATTCAAACCCACAAAGAATATGATGGTGTTTGATGGTGTCATAATTGCCCAAAAAATATATTTAGAAAAATTGAAAAGTGCAGGGTTAAAGTTGAAATAATACTGATGACCACTAATGACAAAATAATTCTCTGTGTTCTGTTTTCCAGGATTCCTTCTGGTACAGACGGCTGGATGGAGTATGTTCCCATCTCAGAGAAGAAGAACATCTCTGCTCTTTCTCCACAGCAATTCAAAGAAGGTAACTTCACTACAACCAGAGATAAAGCAGAACAGGAGTTACCCAGTCCAGTCCGTGACTTTTCCTGAAAGTGTGTTATACAGCACCCTCTGTTGTTAAAAATTGTCAATAGGAAGTCGGATTGAAAAAATCGCCAAATAAATTGCCATTTATACCCATATCCGCCAGCGGGTAATATTTACCTCATAGAAAATGCAGCGTAAACATGACGTGATGTTATAGCAACGTCTTTTGTCTACTGCGGTTCCTTATAGATAGAGAGATAGATAGAGAGAGATAGATAGATATAGTGATAGATAGAGAGAGAGAGATAGACAGATAGATAGTTATAGATAGTGTAACATCTTGGAGAATACAAGATCTTGGATGACTGAGCTCACGTTGAGGACGTAATGCATGTGTGCAGGTGACGTGCCAGTTGAATAAAGATGGACACTCGGAATGAGAGAAGTAGTCCGCGTAGTCTGTTTATGTAGACAATTATATATCCATAGAACAGAACATTACAGATGGATCGATAGATAGTTATAGATAGATAGAGAGAGATTGAGAAATTTGTACCTAAACAAAACACAAGTCTAACACACCAAGTCTTTAAATAAGCACTTGTAGCGATATTTTATACTTCATGCTATCTGCAAAAACTATATCATATGAAAAGCTGAGAGTCCACAGATTCTATTGGTATAAATGTCATCCCTGTGCGATCAAAACTGACTGTTCTGTATGATAAATAAAAGAACATTGTACCTTGCAAATCAATAGCGGGTACATTTTACCCGTTGGCGGTTTTAGGTATACAGCGACCTCTGGCAGTTCTAGTGTTAAGTACTGCTCTGTGATCTGTGTAGGTGGCCCCTTGCTGTTTGACAAGGTGCAGCTGGTGCAGGACTCTGCGGCCCTGAACGGGACGCAGCGGGTGCTGCTGGATGATGTCATATCTGAGGAGGAGTGCTCGGACCTGAGAGACCTGGCACATGTAAGGACATTACACTCATTAAGGTTTCAAATCTTCATTTTAAAATGAATCTTATGAATCTTAATCTTGTTCCCAGGCTGTCACCAAAGCAGGAGACGGCTACAGAGGGAGGATGTCTCCACACACTCCCAACGAGAAGTTTGAAGGAGCCACTGTGCTCAAAACCCTGCAGGTACACTAACCACTAAACAGAAAGAAATGACTGAATTAATCATTAGACTAGATTGTTGTCAGGGTTACAGAAAAGGGCATAATATCCGAGCTAAATGGATTAATGAGAAGAGTTCAATTTCAAGTCAAAATTCAAACCATGGGCTCAGCAATATTGCATATTCATCATATACAGTGTTCAAAAGAATGTGTCATCTTTCTTCATTTATGGTTTAACTCTACATGTTATGCTCCATTTTGTTATTTCTTCCCTACAGTACAGCTATGAGGGCAGGGTGCCGATGAGGAGCGCTCGCATGTTCTATGACATCAGCGAGCGAGCGAGGCAGATCATCGAGTCGTACTTCCTGCTCAACTCCACCCTACACTTCTCCTACACACACCTAGTGTGCCGGACGGCCATCACAGGTCAGTTACACAAGGAAACATATTTCACAAGTGCCGTCTTTTAAAATGTATTCATACGTGTAACAATAAGCTTACATTTTTTTACTTTAATTACAGTCTAGACTCAAAAAGTAGATCTAATGTCTTGCCATCCTTTAATCCTTGAAAAGTACAAAAGTACAGTTCTCTTGACAACTGGTACGACAAAATCCATGAAATCTATGTTATGGAAAGAATCACCTTCTCAATGAGGCTTCAGGAAAACACATTTGAAGAAATATGGAAAAGTGGAGAATTGACATATCCCAAAGACGACCATCCCATGTTTGACTGTTTCTATACACCGATTGAATGTATATGTATAGATGTGTATGTATGGTCACATGTACTGTATGTGTGTATGTGTATTGCATGTATATATGTATGTTGATATGTATGCATATGTACATGTGTAGACATTTGCTATTTCAAACAACCCCTGTGTACTATTTCGTTTTTATTTTTATTTTGACTCATTTTGTTTGCTATTTCATTTGCTATGTCACTTTCGGGTCTCTAAACATATATGATTTGAAAAACTGTACTTGTATTATAATGTTATGGAAGCCCATTTCCGCCACTTGAAAAAAATAAAATCCCCATGAAAAGTCATAATTATGAGATAAGAAAGTCGAAATAATGAGATAAAAAGTCATAATTATGAGATAGAAAGTTATAATAATGAGATAAAAAGTCATAATTATGAGATAAGAAAGTTCACGGGTTAGAGTTAGGCTAGCAACTCACAGCAGCAGTATGCCTACACTATTGTCATTAGTGGCGTGAACGTTACCACAAAACTATAAGCATATATATTATAGTTCATAACAGGTCATGTCAAAGCTATGCATTGTTGTAGTTTAGCTGCAATATAGGCTATATGTAACATCTAACATTTACAAAAGTCACCTGTAATAGTTTCCTTATTTAGGACTAGATGCCGTTTGCATTGTGGAGAGCAGCAAGGTGATGAAGGGACCTTTGAAGACAGCGCCACTCCAGCGCATGCGCACTTCTTATCTCATAATTATAACTTCTTATCTCATATTTATGACTTTTTATCTCATAATTTCGACTTTTTTATCTCATAATTATGACTTTTCATGGGGATTTTATTTTTTTCAAGTGGCGGAAATGGGCTTCCATATAATGTGACCCCAAATAAATAAAGAATTTAAAAAAATAAAAAAATACAGAGGATGTTTTCTTTGTATTTATTCTTTTTGCTTGTCCTTCACAGGCCAGCAGGATCACAGGAATGACCTGAGCCATCCCATCCATGCTGACAACTGTCTGCTGGACCCCGAGGCCAATGAGTGCTGGAAGGAGCCTCCAGCGTACACATACAGAGACTACAGGTGAGAGGCTATCAGCACTGCTATAAATAATCAACCCACTTTTCTGCAGCGGTCTCTTTCAATCAGTTGAGTATGTGCTGATCTATACTTTCCTTTTTTATTTTCAGTGCACTGTTATATCTCAATGGAGATTTTGAAGGAGGGGAGTTCATATTCACAGAAATGGATGCCAAAACAGTCACGGTAAGATGGTGTCTTCTTTGATGTGAGAGTTACTTTTAAAATGATTTTGCGGCACAGGAAGTCAGTGAACATGCTAATATCAGGGGTCTGATACCAAAAGGATGCAATATATATTTATATTAAACGTAAATCTCTATTTTCTCTAGGCATCAGTGAAGCCCAAGTGTGGGCGGATGGTGGGTTTCTCATCCGGAGGGGAGAATCCACACGGTGTGAAGGCCGTCACGAGCGGGCAGAGGTGTGCCGTCGCTCTGTGGTTCACTCTGGACCCGCTCTTCAGAGAACTGGTAAACTAATGTTTCTGTTAAAGAACAATTGCAAATGAATAAGTAATCATCCCTTTCCTCCTGTGTTTACTCCAAAGTTGCTTCCAAGTTTAGAACTATTAGCAAATGTGACCATGCTTAGATGTCAAACTAAGATGTGTTAGCATTTAGCTAAGAGAGCTGTCGGTTTGTCGATCTACGATACAAAGCAGCTTTAAATAATAAAGAATTGTCAACAGGGTGAAAGGCCATAGATCCACTTCCTGCTATCTGGTATTTAGGACACTAGTGGATACAAATCCAAGTAGGTTTTGGAGGCAAGTCAGCAGAGGAAATAATGAATCTTCCATTTCACCCTAAGCATTGGGATAGCGACAACTTTTAGCTCCTTTTTATATAAGAAATCCCTTCAGATTAATTCAAGGTTCAAGGCTTTTATTAGTCATACGTACATAGCTACAGTGTAGTTATGATGACGAAAATCTTAGGTCACAGGCTCCACCAACAGTGCAACACAATAAAACAGAAATATGTAATATGCTTTTGCTAACTTGAGTGTATTTATTACTCTAGCCTGAATTATTTGTTCTTTTTCACTACTAGGAGAGACTTCAGGCGGATGAGGTGATCCAGGCGTTGGACACGCAGTCTGTTTGGGGTCCAGGCCTCAACATCAACCCTAAAGATGAACTGTAGAAGCTTCACCTCTTCCCCTTCTACCAAATCCTTCTAAATATTTTAACTATTTATTGAAAAAGTCTTTGGATCAGAACTTTTCTATGTTTGTACTGTTTGAAGTGCAAGGTTCATAATGTCGTCATTTTTGTGGGGTTTTTTCTACCCACAAGTATTTGAGTTCACCTTTTGTCTTTCCCTCCAGCGACAGCTTCTTGTAGAGAAAGAAATCCAACTATTTCTGTTTTGTTTTGTTGCACCTGGTTTCATTCAAGACTGGTCATATCTGTAACCTACTGAACTGTGAAGAAGCCAAACAGAAGCAGACATTTATTTATTTTTTGCTCTGAGTTCTGAGTTGTTCTGGTTTTGGACGACATTTCGAATGGGTTTTATTCATAAACACGATGCAGATATTTACAAAAAATATCTTACTTTTAGTTGTCTCTGTTTTAAAATAACTCACAATTGCAAGTACTATTCATAAGTAACAGCATAATGTTCTTCAATATTCTTTTGTGACAGTAATAACTATTTTCAATGTAGAAAGCGTTCTGTTTTTCTAATTTGGGTACCTGATTTTATAATAGTGCTCATACAAAGAGTTTAAGAAAGAGATATGTTCTTATATGCTGAATATTTAATGATCATGCACTCTGTCCTTCTCTTCTGTGCCAAGTCTGAAACTGTAAATGTCTTATTTTCCTTTGTTGTTGCCGTGAATAACCCCCCCTTACTCTCTGGGCACACAGAGCAGAATATTCTGTTTTCCATGTTCACTGACTTATTTTACTATTATTTATGTGTTTTTAATAATAGACAGCTGCTGACGTAACTGTTGGCATTTAATATGAGGAACTTTTTTCATAAAAGATGTCAATCATTCCTGTTTCAAGGAATAAATATGTATCTATCTTTTTTTGTCTTTATGATTGTGTTGAGGATACAGATGAGAGGTCGAATCGTGCACTGTAAACCCAATGGAGAAAACGTGCACAAAGTTTCTTTCTTTTTTTACATAGATACAAACTGCTAACCAGAAATCTTAAACCGGTCGTGCTATGAGGTTGGCCACTTTTGTTTCACTGATATTTAATTCTGAAATGCTGTAGCACACAAACATTGATGTGTCCATGTCTATAAATGAAAATGATAAAATTCCATATCTACATTGAACTGTGTATATTTGTTTTATTTGTTCATCTCATCATTGTTCATTTGCAGGAAACAAGAATGCATTTTAAACAAAGAAACTGATACATTATTTGTGTTGTCATGTCTCAAACAACCAGGCATATATCGCTTTACAGATCTATATCGCATTCCTTTACAGTTTTATCTGTTCAAGTCACCTGTTGTAAACTCAAAAGTATGCTTCCTATGTAACCGAACACTCTGACGAAAGGCATACAGTAACAAAAACTTGAGCTAACGCTGTACAGCCCTGCAGTTTAGCTCCATTCAAAGTAAAGTGCGTCAGCCACTACACAAGGTAAATACAGTAACAAAAATCATTCACTCTTTTAATGTTATCACACTAAGAGGAGGTCACTGCGGTAAAGTTTATCTTCTCAGAATGTGCTTTAACACAGCCCAGAAGTAGAAATAAATAACAACTGGACTGAGAGTAAACTATGTATTCTGTTCATTCCACGTCTCGTGTTGCCCAGTGTGGAGTTTGAGGTGGTGTTTGTTTGAATCCAGGGGACATTGGATGTGATTGGTTCAGAAGCGGTGGTCCAGCTGTTCGGTAAATCTGAATGGCTTGGTTTCATTGACGGTGAACAGCAGGTCCCTCATCCGTCGTGCGCGCCGCTCCTCCAGCACCAACCTGCGGGAGCGCTCTCGAGCCGCCTGCTGCTCCGCTTGCTTCTCCGCCCGTTTACGCTTCAGCCACCTGAGGAGGACACAAGACGATGGAGATTACCAGGTGGCAATTTACGCATGAGAAACACAATTGACCTTTAAGATACATTTTTTAATGTATGAAAAAAACATTTCACAGGCAATGTAAATAAATAAATATGATATGTGTAAATGCTTCTGACAAACTAACTATTAACAACTTCAAACAGGCCTATGGCAATATATAATGGATTTATCATGATTCAACATAAAGACAGATATTTTTGAAATGCTGTGAGAAGTTGTGGTGAATTTAAATGAAGGTGTGCTCACAGTTTGAAGGCACGCTCACACTCCCCTCGGCTGCGCAGGAGGTATCCGCTGTCCTCCTCCAGCCTCTTCAGCTCCAGCAGGTGTCTCTCTCTCTGCTGCTGCTCCTGCTTCCTTTGGAGCCACAGCCTGAAGGTCTCCTCTGGGTCGCTGGAGTCTCTCTGCCGGAGGATGCAGAAATACATCCAGTAAGTAACAGTTGACATTTAGTATAGCATTGCTGATTTGGTTTTCTTAGATGCAAACAAACTAAGTTATCATTTCTGTGTGTAACAAATAGAATACTGTTACTTCTTATTGTAAAAGTATTTTTCTCCTTTTCCACGCAGGAGCCTAAAATGTTTTGCTGTACAAAATGTGGACGCTTTCATGTCTTTAGAGTAGGATAAAGACTTGACAAAAGCTGCTTAAAATTACGAACTAATTATATGATATTGATTCAATTACTGATAATGACGAAAAAGGAGCATCATCTGCTGTATCTCCAGACTTTCTGTTCTCACTGCTGAACATCCACGCTGTGAGAGATTGTGCCCTCCTGTGGTCGTACCTTAGCGCTGTCCCTCTCCATCTCCTGGGCTCGGTGGATCCTCTTCTCCTCATGAAACTGCTCTCTCTTCTTCATCAGCCAGGCCTTAAACGCCAGCTCATTCTCTTGCTTCTTCTGCTCCTCTTCCTCTTGTTTCCTCTGCTCTTCCTAAAGCAAGAATGATCGAAACAGTATTTTAAGAAATCAAGGCTAAATGTGGAAATGCTTATTTGTTGTTTTGATGCTGGTGAAATACACTAACTTTTTTCTTTCAAGTATTCTTTCCTACCTCTCTGGCCAGCCTGTTCTTCCTCTCCTCGATCCTCTGCAGCAGCTCTTTCTGCTGTGGTGAGAGGCTGTATGTGGCCTGGCAGGGGGTCCCGGTGGCAGACTGCACCCTCCGCTTGCTGTTTCTCCACTGGGTGCCTCTCTGGCTGTGGCTGGCTGAGCTGGGCCTGCTCCTGGGCTGGGCTGGGGGTCGGGGGGCTGGGAGCTGATTTATGCCTTGATGGAAAGGGTGAGAGCCGGCACGAGGAGAGGGGGAGGACCTGGAGGTCTTACTGGAGCTCACAGTCTGCTCCTTGTGACGTGAGAAGGAGAAGTCCATGTTGTTGTTTGCTATAGGAGGCAGCAGTCCCATACTCTCCACCTCTTTCAGGCTGACTAGGTCAAACTTACCATCCTTTTCGACCAGGACTTTTCCTTCCTTTAACCCTCCCTCAATGCTCTCCGCAGCTCTGCCAGATTCCCTCTCTTGTCGAGGGGAAAGTTTTAGCTCAGAAAGCTTCCCCGACACTTCGATCTCGACTTTTGAATCCTTGGTGCGCTGCTCCCCTTCCACCTCACCAGTGTCTCCTTTCTCAAACTGCTGTGGAGACACCACCAGGTCCACCAGCGTCTCTTTAAAATGCAGCCGTCTGCGTCTCGTCATACTCGGGGCCTCTTGGTCCTGCAGCTCTCGATTCGCCTGCTGGATCTTCTCCTGGATGTACTTCTTCTCCTCTTCAGTCTGTTCCTCCATCTCTGGAGGAGGTGGGAGTATGGTTGAGGACTTATTTGGGCTGTCTCTGTCTGAATCATACTCTAATGGATCCATAGGTGAGGGCCACCTCTCTTCCTCTTCATCTTCTTTCAACTCTTCGGATTTCTTGCCTCTCTTCTCCTCCTTGAGGCTTCTCGGCTTTCTTTTCTTTCTTTTCTGTTTCTCATCCTCCTCCAGTTCTTTGTCAATCTCTGCTTCTATGTCTTTAAAGTCAGGACCCTGAGGTGCAGAACAACAGAAAAACTGCATTAATTAAATAGGTTTGAAGGTAAATGAATGAGCAACATCAATAGTAAGCAGGTAATAGGTGGTGTGATAACAGACAAGCATTAGTGTGTTCATCAATATTGCATCCTGCAGTGGAGCACAGTGAAAGTATGTCACCGCATGTCAACAGCATGGGTTTCACATGTATACACTGATATGTGCCTGGCTGGGTAACTCAACACTACAGATGCCGCACCTAGTCTGCAGTAAGTAGAGCAGCACAGACCTGGTTTCAATTGATTAAAAAAACAAGCAGTGTTAAAAAATAGAAAGTATATAGGAGAGAAGTTATCAGCCTGCCCCGAGATTTTATATAAAGGACTTGCCTGGTCCTCACTCCGGGATTCCTCGCTGATCAGCCAGTCCAGATCCTTCTCGAAGTCGTCCTCGTATTCGTCCTGAGACTTTGTGATAACCACCCCACTCATAATCTTCACTGGAAGAAGATCAGAAATAATGTTCAGACAAGATTGTTGCCACATTAGCAGAAGGGCCTGACTGAGGGAAGTGATATCAGTCAGGCAGCCCGGAGAAAGATATCTTAACATCTGACCAAATAAAATATCCTGTTGTTCCACTTAAGTCTAGGAAAAGGTCTCTTAAAATACTTTATCACCCATGTATGGCCTCCAGAAGAAAAATTCAAATATGTTTAATGTCCCCCAGACGTTACATCTTGTACCAAGACATAACTCCCTATGTCGACTATGGGTAACGATTTGACTCGTAAAATTACAAATATTTAGTACACAGCTTTAGGACTTGGATTGGGTGCTTCTTGTAATGACATCCTCAACATTATTGTATAACGGTAATATAAAAACAGTCTTTGTTCTGAAACAGTTTGTGGAGTTTGACAAATGTATATGTTTTAAATGTCAGGGAAGGTGTAAATAATACACATCCTACACAAGGCAGGCATTTTAAAGTATATATTCTGATACAAATAAAGCTGAATTTATTAAAAACAACATACGAATGTATTATAAATTGCACTCTAGTGTATCATCATAGTTAAGAATGTTTTTTTTACAAGTATATTGCCACCGCATGACATCAAGGTAAGTGATAGCCAACAGAGGTGAAAGGTCAGATGCTAGACATCCCATAACCTGAGTCACTGAGGATGTTCACAGACATACAATACTAAACCTCATCTACAGTCGAGCGGAACACAGATTAGAGTCCATCTATTTGGATCATCAAAACAACACCACACAGATCATACTCTAAACAGTATTTCAAATGTTAGGTTTATTTTATTTTATATGTCTCATGGATGGAAGAGCAGAGGAATGTTTGGATCGTTGTGTTACGAATACTTCCCACACATCACTTTATGTAATGTGGATATATGGGTTACACAGGAATACATTAAAAAAAAGCTAGAATGTAACTAACAACATTTACTCAAAGACTGTACTTTAATACCGTTTTGAGGTACTTAACTTAAATCCCCTGATAAATGAGGCCTTAATCTATCTATCTACTCCATTGCAGCTCAGTGGGAATACTGTACTTCTATAATCCACTACAGTTGTGATTCATTACATTAATAATTACTTGAGTTAATTAACATAAGAAATACAACATATATTCAACAAACTACGATCTAATATTAAAGATGAGACCTTGATCCCTTGGTTATACTCATGAGCTAGCAATAGCAGTATATGACGCTTCAAATATCAAATGATGCAACAATAAAGCAATGCATTATTAGTGCATCAATAATTATAATCCAGTATTATTTAAGTATTCATCTCAAATTGACCATTTTAACAATGAATGTACTCTTACTTTTGGTACTTTAAAAATATGTTAATAACAATACTTTTATACTTTTGCAAAATTTGACTTTTTAAATTTGAAATGCAGGACTTTAACTGTTGTATTGCTACTGTTAATCAGGTTTAAGATTGAAATGCTTCTCCCACCTGTATACAATGTACTGGTGTTGAGGATTGGTCATCACCTACTGGAAAGAAACCAGTACTACCAGGTTACGAGTAAACTATTATTCTTGTTGTTGCTTTTTGACACAGATATCCCCTCTCTGCTGACATGTAGGTTATGTTTACAACAGTTTTGCTCTGTTGTCTCGGAACCAATTCCCCTGGCTACAACACAGAGTTTAAAGACAATAATCCTGTTTATCTTTATAGCTCTGCGAGCTACAAATAAACAGGAGACAGAATTAGGAGGCTGATTTGTGGGTTTGTTTGTCTACTAAGAATTAAGAGCAGTACAAATAATTGTGACAATTGTTAGTAAACTCACCAGCACCGGCGGGTCCTTGCTTAGTATTCCGGTTGAGTTCAGAGCGATGTCACCACCATCCGGCCGGCTTGTCTTGTAACTATCCCTCCATCTAACTGGCCCACATAGTGCCTGGCAGTCTACGGAACAACACCTGTGTACATAATCTGCTTCCAGTCCCTCTGCAGCCCTAAAAGGTTTATTAGACCCGTCGTCATAGAGACCTACAACACGCTTTACTACTTGCGCATGCGCATACAGGACACACAATTCACAAATAATAACATGTCCATGCACACAAGAGAAAACATGGTTCCCGAAGAACATTTTGAAATATAAGGCTAGTATAAAAAATGATATACCACCTTCTCTGTTTATTTATATAACAAATGAGTTGCCAGTTGGAATAGTAGCCTATGATAGGAGATTACAAAATAAAACAATGCTAAAATCATGCTTGCTCTATTATATTTCAACTGTGGTGGAACAAGAACTAAGATATGTTACTTCTGTAAAAGTAGCATTGAAAAAGTACAGATTAAAAAAGTAAATAGAAATTGTAAAAAATACTCTGTAAGTAAGGCACTAAAAAGTAAGCCTACTCATTATGCAAATATATGGCTTAAAAAAACACAAATTATTTTGAGATTTATCATAACTTCTTAAGCAAATTATCATTATTATTATTATTATTATTATTATGAGCATTAAGTGGGGGGTGTCCCTAATTGAAAACAATAAGAAGGCTGAAGAAAGCAGAGACGATTAACAAAGGAAGCATTACCATATAAATTACCAGAACATGTAATTGAATGAATAATCTAATGTAAAACCTTGTTATCATAGACTCGTTGGGCCACAGCTCATCGATGTTTAATGTTTGATCTAGACCAAAGCACATGACCATTGGAGGTACAGTAAGTCACCCGATTACCTTTATTTTGGCCTATTTCATTAAAGCAGAAAACTATTAAATATACAAATACAATTATGAATAATATATATATATATATGCAAATAGCTATACAGAGTTGCTAATGCTGGGATCTGGGATAGTAGTGTTTTATGAATAAAACATCTTGTCTTAAAGGTCAATATTACATTCTGGTTTGAGTATAACTCAGAATATAATAAGGTCTATAATGTAATTTATAATGTTTAACTTATAAGTGAAACAGAGGTACATCCATTTGTACTGTGAAGTACAAACTGCGAAGGATATGAAAATTCATTGAACGCAACATTTGGTTTGTTGCGCACTGCATTATGGGGCATGACGTTTTGCTTTACACTTTAACTACAGGAGAGCCCAGCAAAGAACGACATTTCCCACGTTGCATCTGTTGCTACCGAGGAACTACACGCCCCCTTGACTGATAACACACATGATAGCACGTAGGCACAACTTCTGATAATGTTTAAGTAACTAACTACTCAATAACTACCAACAGCCTTAGAGCGGTTGTTTTTCCTACAAATGGCTACCATTGTCTTCTGCTCTGTCAACAAAACGGCTCGGACCACCGCAAGACGATGTTTGAGTTCATATTCAAAAGGGCTTGCTAGTTCAGGAGAGTCGCCGTTGTCCTGCACTCACAGCCCGCTTACGACGCTCCTTCCGAGTACAAGATGGTTTTCCAGGGGCTCCAGCGTACGGTTCATGTCCCATGGGACTGCAAGCAGGGCCGGGGCCGGGAGAACCAGGAGGGGAGCCCTGCTCAGTGGAGCCGCAGCCGTCACAGCAGCTGCGGCAGTAGCGGGGTTTTTAGCCAACGCTAACCACTTCCAGCGGGCTGAAATGGCAACGAAAGTATCCCCAATTTCTGAGGAGAAGGAACCCGAGGGGGAGATCTTGGAGAGGTGCAGGGGGTTCATGTCTCCTCCGGTGACCGACATCGGTGAGCTGCAGGAGAGGGAAGGGGAAATGAGGACCAGGATGGAGATGTTGATCATGCAGACGCAGGCCGACTTCTGCAAAGCCCTGGAGGTGGTGGACGGTGGGACGTTCAAGGTGGACCGGTGGCAGAGGAATGAAGGTGAGGGGTGCTCGCCTGGTATTTCTATTCTTACTAGGAAGGCCTATTGGAGTTGGACATGTTTTTTTACAAGAAATACTTGGCCAAGGTAACAACACGGTTAAATACAACACAACATGACATAAGTTATCATTATTCTTAATAACAATTAACAACCACATACGTCCATCCCTACGTTCTTAGTTATTACATCTTTATTGGATACAAATGTTTCCAATTTGAGTTATTTTTTGATACCCAGGCTACATTGAAAAGCAACCAATTGTGGGATACGTATGCATTTTATTCTGTACGTAATGCTAAATGTGTTTGTGGCATTCTTGAAAGTGTAGGACCTTCAAGTGTGCGGCATGTTTTTGTGCTCAAAGCAACACAGAGTTCACAGATGCATGCAAGAGACACCGCCTGAAGTAAAGTCTAATCTACGAGGAAATAAAACAACCACATTTACATCTATCTCTTTCAATGTATTTCACCCTGTGTGGTTCAGGTGGTGGAGGAATCAGCTGTGTGATGCAGGATGGAAAGTTGTTTGAGAAGGCGGGGGTCAATGTGTCCGTGGTGTTTGGATACCTTACTGAAGAGGCTGCCAAGCAGATGAGGAGCAGAGGGAAAGTGCTCAAAGGGAAAGATGGTACGTTCTGTTCCCTTGATATTTATTTGCAGGTTAAAGCTTGATAAAGCTCTTAACACGAGCCTCTATTTTCCCACAGGTAAGCTGCCCTTTTGTGCCATGGGTGTGAGCTCTGTTATTCACCCCAAGAACCCCCACATCCCCACTGTGCACTTCAACTACAGATACTTTGAGATCGAGGAGGAAGATGGTGAGTGTCAGTTATGATGTCAGCAGTTGTGTCTTGGTGTCAGTGACACTATTGAGTGCATGAATGAATGAATGATAACACTTGTTTCTCTATTCCTTGTCTTGTGTGTTTGTGTGTGTGTTCAGGCTCTAAGCAGTGGTGGTTTGGTGGAGGCACAGACTTGACTCCAGTTTATATTAATAAAGATGATGCTTTTCACTTCCACAACACCCTGAAGGAGGCCTGTGACAAACACCACTCTCAGTACTACCCTGACTTTAAGAAATGGTACAGTTTGACTAGTCCTACGTTTGTTTGTTTGTTTGTTTGTTTGTGTGTGTATTTCAGCACGTACGCATTTGTAGGCCTGATTTCTATGAATTTGTGTGTGTGCTTATTACACTGGGTGTATCCTCACTGTAGGATGATGATAAGAGGAACTCTTTGACTAAAATCTGCAGTCGCAGAAAAGCCGTTGAGCCCTGACATAAGTCAGTGAGCATTGGGGATATGAAGGGGATGGGTGTTGTTTATCTGATGTGGATGGTAATAAGGACGTTTTGTCAATTTAATTCACCCTGTGCTTGGTCCAGCCCCACGCTGCTAGCCTGTCAGGCTGTCAAAGCTAAAATGGAGCCAATATTTAAATTAACTGCATTTCCCAGAGATATATTATTTTATTTGTTTAAATGTAAAAGCAATTTCACAGAGAAGCAGACAAAATACTCCACAATATACATTTTAAGAATATATCCAGGATGTCAAAGGTGCTAGTTGGACGTTTTTGTTTTTCTAGCCACATCAGGTGTGTCCCCCTGTTTCCACTCGTTATGCTAAGCTAAGCTTGATTTGAGAAATGAGAGTACTCTTACATCTCGTAGAAATTCCCTTACAAAGAAGCATCATACTGTAGATGTACTTTCACCCAAGTTATTTTGAATACCTCTCTTCCTCTTGCCTTTAAATAATATATATGCAGCATAGTCCAGTTCTGCTGAATATTTTAAAATCTCGACCTGGCTATAAAAGAAAGGAAAGAAAAAGGAAAACAGCTATTTTTACTTGTGTGTATTTCTAGGTGTGACAGATACTTCTACATCCAACACAGAGGAGAGACTCGAGGTATTGGAGGAATCTTCTTTGATGATCTGGACTCCCCGAGTCAGGAGGAGGCATTCAGCTTCGTGAAGAGCTGTGCTCGCACCGTGGTGCCCTGCTACCTGCCCATCGTGCACAAACACCTCAACGACTCCTTCACTGAGGAAGAGAAGGACTGGCAGCAGGTACGACGAGGAAGGTGAGTAAACTAACTTGTGGCTTTTATGATTACACATCATAATAATAATAATAATAATAATAGATTCAATTTGTATAGCGCCTTTCAAGGGACCCAAGCCCGCTTTACATGGTAAACAAACAAATAAACAAAAGGGGCAAATAATAAAGTACAAATGAAATAAGTAGGAGTAGAAGCAGGGGGACTGTGATGTGTTAGGGGTCAAAGGCCATGGTGAACAGGTGAGTGTTTAATGATGACTTGAAGATGTCCAGGGTTAAAAGGAGATTTTGTATATCATAGCACATTTTAGTTCAATGAATGAAGGCTTCTTAAACTACTGGTAGTTACACTGCAAAAAACATGAACCTTTAATATGTCATTCTCTATTTATACCATTTCTGCTTAAAAAGTAAGCCGGATCAAGGATTAACACAAACACTGAACATGCTTATGATAGGTTAACCATCACAATCAATATTTCATTTCCCCTTGTTCTATAAAGGTTCAAATAAGAAGACACTTTGAAATGCATGAATGAAAAAAGGACTCCATGGACAGCCTGTGATCCATACATGGTAGTTCAGAGCTCTCTGCCAGCAGGGGGAGTATTGGGTCATTTGAACAGAGACCACAAATAAAGAAAAAGCTAAAACGGGATTTTATAAAAAAGGAAAGGTATGATGGTGGGTCAGAAACTCATACAAAGTTTGGATAAAGTGGGAGAAGAAAGAAAGGAAAGGGAGACGCTGAAGTTCTGTTTAGATTGTTTAGAAATATGCAGATGAATGTGGATTTGGTTACTTTAGCATTACAAAGGTTCATTCACTGCAGTGAGACTTCTAACAGGGCCGCTCACCATGCACCATGCACAGACCTCAGGGCACTTACATTTTCCTGAAATAATAACTTGTACTAAGATTTAAGATGATTTTAACCTTAACTGTGCTTGATTACAGACATGTGTTTTAATAAAGTGTATCATTGATTTTAATCCTCTTTCAGAAAATCTTGGTGTTCCTGATTGGATTAGGCACAACAGATTGTAAAGATGTCTACCTCATGATGATAAATCCTGTTACCCGGTGTCTACATTGGCTTTCTGTGTTTCTGTTGCAGATATGTGGAGTTTAACCTGGTGTACGACAGAGGAGTGAAGTTCGGCCTGGCTACGCCTGGCTCCAGAATCGAGAGCATTCTCATGTCTCTCCCCCTCAGTGCCAGGTAAGACAACACTGGTTTAAAGCTCAGCAAAAAGCTCTCTGTGTTGCCAGGTAACAAACTCCCCCTTCTTCCCCAGGTGGGAGTACATGCACGAGCCTGCCAAAGGTACCCTGGAGGCCGAGATGCTGGAGGCGTTACGAAACCCCAAGGAGTGGGTGTGACCGCATATCCCAGGTTTATCCATCAGGATGGATCACACCCCCAGGGAGCTGTCTGTGATGATGGTGTGAAATGTTTGATCAGCAGCAGTTTACTCTATGTTTACTAAAATCATATGAACTCGTCCGATTATTTTAAATCTGCTATGGTACTTTTCCTTTTTTCCTGTTTGCTATGTTTTGTAAAATCAGCCTTGGTAAAACTCTAGTCACACTGGGATTGCATTAATATACTTGTACCTGCTTTTAGGTCATCTCACAATGATGATGTGCTCCTTTTGAAAGAGGTGTTTGTGTCAAACACTAGCTGTGGTTTCTTTCTATGTCAAAGCTAAAGTGGGTTTGCTCTACTTGAATCTCTGCACTCTTTTCTTAATGCTGTGTGTGTGTGTGTGTGTGTGTGTGTGTGTGTGTGTGTGTGTGTGTGTTACATCTGTTTTCATGTGCATCTGCTTGTAACAATGGGTTATTTTTAGTAATCAAAGCTAAGTAATAACTTGGAATGGAAGGATCCCTCTTGAGCCCTATTCACATTGTGATTGGTTGTTCGCCCGCTGTAAATGAGTCATGTTTGTTTGAAGAGCCGTGAAACAATAGTTGGATGTTGGATCCGCAGAGAGGATATATGTGAATCCCAGGCCAGGTGTCTGATTTAAGAAAGAAGAATGTTGGAAAAACAAAATGCCTTTTTGAAATACATAAAAGTAATTTAAAGATAAAATCATTGTTTGTTCTGTTTTTTCTCAAGTTAATATCAGTTTACACATTTACTTTGTCCTAATTCACCCTTGAAATATACCTTTGAATCTTTACTTTGTAATACTGCAACACTGACCAAAGCTAAAGGATAAACGTCATAAAAATGGTTGGTGTAGTTTTTCATTGACAATAATAATATGCAATAACTGTCACTAAAAAAATGATGGCTTCATACGTCATAAACAGAACAAGTCATGGAATTGCATTTCTTTAAAAAGTAATCAAAGTATTTAAAATTCAAAATAAAATGTCATAACGGGTCATAGTTTAGTATGTCAAAATGTCAAAACATTTTATGCCATTGACATTTCTATAATAGTATAGAACACTAAGAGACATTAATTATTTAGCAGTTTGTCACAAAAGAAACCACTGTACTTCATAAATGTCCTATAAAAGTAATAGTATAAGTATGTGACAGAAATGACTCGTTATGTCTACAGTCCAGTCTACAAAACTGAATGCCTTGGAAAATGTGGATGATTGACACATTGAGGATCAATATGTAACCCAGCAAGAAAATAAATAAATAGATAAACCTCAAATGTAAACTCGCATGATGACAATAATAATGCACGACCAAATGAAATTGAAGAAACGCACGTTGCACATTGTCCGTGTTTTATTACAAATGAATTCAAGCTTCTGCACATATCAAGAGTGTATAACAACTTTTCTTGCATTTAATGTTATATAACATTTTGTTTAATAAGGCATTGTAAAAAAAGGGGTTCTGAAAATAACAGTCCAACAACTGACCTTACCAAAATGGCTGCCCCCCCCTCCCAGCACAACTCAGTTAAAGGTCATTGCAAGTGCTGAGGTTCACAGGTCAACTCACAAAAAGTATAATAATCAGTGCTCAGTCTGAGGTGTAACCATGTGACATTTATGAGTAGTATTATTAGACAGATATATTTGGTTTTTAGTGTATGCAGCAACATTGCATATAGAGTAAGAGAACTTTTTTCCAGCAGACGTCAAACCAGACTGTCCTGGCTTTCATCCAAAAGCTCAGTTCAAGCTCAAACACTAATGCCTGCTCTGGTAATGTAATGCCTTCATTACATTACATCTTACTTGTTAGACGCTTTTATCCAAAGCCACTTACATACTCAATACTGTGGACAATCCCCACAGGAGCAATGTGAGGTGAAGTGCCTTGCCAAGGGTCACAACGACATGCTGACTGCAGTGGGGTTTGAACCTGTTGAACCCCTGTTCCCAACACCAAGGCTCTATCCACTGCACCACACGCCTCTGAGTCCTTAATGTATCCAAACCTACTGTATACTAGCTTGACCTGTGTCACTGCACCCATATGCAATGAAAAACAATCACTTTACCTTCACACGTAAAGACTATACATATTTATATACAGGTACATTACACATGCTAGACGTGGAATTTGACCATAGTGTCGTTAATTACAGAATCTCTTCCCTCTTATACACATTTTTCCAAAGCGCCTGTTTCTATTGCTTCCTGTCTCACAATCCTATGCAAGTCACTCACTCCAAACTTCCATTAATGGTGTAGCTCGTGAGAATCCTCAGTGTGCTTTTAGTGAAAGTGGCACGGCAGAAGACTGTGTTCATTTCCTACATGGTTACATTTGCTTTAGAGGAAAGAGTCGATTTTCACAGTTAAAGCAGGCTCTGATAAATGCCAACAGACCAGACGGCGCAGAGCCACATCCAGCCTCAGGAGAACAGACCCAGCTGCATGCATCACACACTGTAAGCACATACGACACACATACACCAAACACATCTCACACCTTCATTACTGCTGGTTTTATCTTACATATGTATTTCTAAAACATTCAAGTGTATACTGAAGTTGGACCAATGCATTCCTTTGGCATCTTGACTCTTTCATCCTGTAAAATTGTATTTCTTTAAGGTTCAAACATGGATTCAATTAATGTGGAAATTGTTTTGGTTCTGAAACCTGATCATTTACCTAATGTTTGGTCTCCAAACTCCCTTTAACCCCCAATATAAATCTCCGGGTAGTCATTTACAATTTCTACAATTAACAAGCCAAGCATCCTCCACTTAGCCAGCATAAAACAGGAAAAGTAAACAAACAAATGTTTGTGTTCGGAGTCAGTCCACCGAGCCAGAGCTAACGAGTGGGATGAAACTGCATCATCGTTTGCTTACAGGTTACACAAACAAAACCATTGCTTGATTTCCTAATTGCTTCTCTCTTTCTGAACTCTGGTGGTGAAAAATCATTCATTGGAGCCAAATTGTTCTGTGTTCCACTAGAACAAATGCTCTTTCAGAATAATGCCAAGTATGCAATATTCAAAAGACTTTCGAAATAAATATGTTCTATAGAAAGTAAAAAGTAATTGCAAATGTCATAGTAGGAGCCTAGCTCTCTCTCTCTGTGTGTGCGGTTCAGAGGCATTTCAACCGATTCACATTCGTATTGGGATTACGTTTTCAATCCTTGAAATGTTGATACAAATGAATAGAAATGTTTTAAGATGGCAAAGAATGGTATAGATTGGGGCAAAACCGTAGTAAATGCCATGTTTTGGACCACAAACAGGTTGAATTTAATGCAAAATATGTGCAGACGATCTAAAAAATTGGCACTCACCCTTCAATAAACCATTGGTCCAACCCTTATATACACTTTTAGAATAGTTGTCCTCCATTATGGCAATCTGAACCCTTTTCTTATTCGCAACATGCAACATTTGTTATGCCTGCCGAGTTAAATACTTGCATCAGTGTGACAGATGGAAGTTGAGGAAAATCAGATGAGGCTGGTTGGTTTTGGTATTGCGACATCCTTCCTACTATTACTTCACCTCATCGATGAAAGATTAGTGCAAAGCTCAACAGCGCTGGCACTGGGCAAACATTGTATAAGTCCATCGAGCAGACCGTTAACAGTCGGTGTGTGTTGAGGGGAGAAGGCTGGTGAATCCACAACAGTGATTCTGCTCATTCATCAGATGGTCTTAGTGTGTGTTAGGGCTTCTGTTGGGGCGGTAGAGAGAGACCCCTTTACTTCACCCGGCCTCCAGAGCTAGTGTTGACTATATCCTCGTACTGGGGCGGGGGCTCCGTCTCTATCTGGACGTCTGTGTGGCCCACAGCCTCGTCATAAGATGGTGGCGGGTCTCCGGTGCCTCCTCTCCCTGATGTGGGCTCTGAGCCGGGATAGGCGGGGCTGCTGTGCACACTGAGTTCTGAATGGTCCCCCTGGTGGAAGTCCCTCCCCCAATGGTCCATAGAGACCACTGACAGGACGTGGTCGTGGTGCGAGTGTCCCTGGCTGGGGCTGGGCTGCGAACGCTTGCGAGAGTGACAGCGCCACACAGTGATGGCCACGGCGACGATGATGAGCACCACCAGCAGCAACGGCACGATCAGGTAGAGAGAGTGGACCCCCCCCACCGTCTCCAGCCCCCCGCTTGGACTGCTCTCCCGCACATATTCCTCCCAGAACCGTCTCTGAAACCAAACAGAAGACAGACAAAATGAAATACAGGATAAAAACATTTCCTTGGAGATAATAAAAGGCAAAAACATGGTGGCACAACGCCGCTTCCCAAACAATGGGTCGCTCAGCTTAAATGCTTTCTTTCTGGATCGCTGGGACACAAAGGCAGTAGACAACAACATCCGAAACAAAAAGCGAGCACATGATTGTGCCTCGTCCATCTGCTCTCTAGCCTCACAATAGTGTTACAAATACACCCCCCCCCAACCCCTCTATGGACTCGGCTGTTCTTCCTGCTGATAATCA